TTTTGGGCTGGATCCCTGTGGATTTTGGGCTGGATCCCTGTGGATTTGGGTGGGATCCCTGTGGAGTTTGGGCTGGATCCCCCTGGATTGTGGGCAGGATCCCCATGTATTTTGGGTGGGATCCCTGTGGATTTTGGGCTGAATACGTGGATTTTAGGCAGGATCCCTGCAGATTTGGGCAGGATCCCTGTGGATTTCGGGCTGGAACCCTGTGGAGTTTGGGTGGGATCCCGGTGGATTTGGGGTGAGATCCCAGTGGATTTGGGGTGAGATCCCGGTGGATTTGGGGCGGGATCCCGGTGGATTTGGGGCGGGATCCCGGTGGATTTGGGGTGAGATCCCGGTGGATTTGGGGCGGGATCCCGGTGGATTTGGGGTGAGATCCCGGTGGATTTGGGGCGGGATCCCGGTGGATTTGGGGCGGGATCCCGGTGGATTTGGGGTGGGATCCCGGTGGATTTGGGCGGGATCCCGGTGGATTTGGGTGGATCCCCCCGGATACCTTGAGCAGGATGACGGACTCGGGGATGACCCCCAGGCTGCCCAGCGTGGCCGTGTCGTCGCTCAGGATCTTGCCGTCGATGGACAGGTTCTGGTCGAAGGGGGCCACGGAGAAGGCGTGCATGATCTGGGACAGGGACACAGCTTCTTGGAGCAGGGATGGGGCACTGCAGATCCCCCAAATCCCACCCCCATTCCCACCCTGACATGACCCACTCAAATTCCCAACCCAACCCACCCTGATTCTCACCTCAACACAACCCACCCCAATTCCCATCCTAACACAACTCCCAATTCCACTGCAACACAACCCCCCCAACACATCCCCATTTCCACACAACACAACCCACCCTGATTCCCATCCCAACTCCATCATCAACACAACCTCCTCTAATTCCCACCCCAAACACAACCCACCCCAACACAACTCTCCCACACCCCAATTTTCCACCCCAACATAATCCATCCCAATTCCCACCCCAACACAACCCATCCTAAACACAACCCACCCCAATTTCCACCCTGATTCCCACTCCAAGACAAACCACCCCAATTCCAACCCCAACACAACCCATCCTAAACACAACCCACCCCAATTTCCACCCTGATTCCCACTCCAAGACAAACCACCCCAATTCCAACCCCAACACAACCTCCTCTAATTCCCACCTCAAACACAACTCACCTCAACACAACCCTCCCTCTCCAACTCCCACAGCCCAATTTCCCACCCCAATTCCCAACGTAACACAACCCCCAATTCCACCCCAACACAACCCCACCCTGATTTTCACCCCAACACAGTCCCCCCCAACACATCCTAATTCCCAACTCAACACCACCCCCCCTCAATTCCCACCCCACCCCACCCCAATCTGACCCCATGTGGGATTTCAGACCCTTCCCCTCCCTCCCCACACTCCTGGTTTGATGGTTTTCCCTCATTCCTGGCATTCCTCCCCCCACCTGTATTTTCAGCTCTTTCAGGGTCTGGTTGGCCGACACCAGCAGGGCCTTCTCCCCTCGGACCTTCCTGTGCCGGGTGCTCCTCCTGATTCCCTGTTTTTGGTAGGTGATGTAGCTCTGCTGGGAGAGCTTCTGGCGTTTTGCGCCGCCGTTGGCCTGGAGAGGAGGCAAAACCCACGGAGATCAAGTTATGTGGGAATAAACACGAGTTCCCCGTACCCCAGAGGGTGTTTGGGGTGAGTTGGTCATGCGAGGGAAGGCGGGAAGCGATGGAAAATCCCTTGGAAAGCCAACTGAAGCGTGCAAGTGTGCAGAAGACTGAAGGATTTGCCTTCAAGCCTCAGTTCCTGGTCCTAATGCCAGCGTGGGGCAGATTTCCATGGGCAGACGAGTCCCTGTCCAGGTTTAACCTCTCCAAAACCCAGCACTGGTGTGGTCTGACCATTCCAGTGACACTTTGAGACACGTGTCCCCCACTAGTCGGACCCAGAGGAGGAGGGAGGTGACCTCATCGTGCTGACTCTGGAGGATGATGCAGAAATCAAGGAACCTCCTGGGATTTTTCATCTCTACCTGGTTAAAATCGGGGTCCTGCTCCCCCTCTGGCTTGTTTTCCTCCCTTTCCTCTTCAGCCTCCGAGCTGCTCACGTTCAGCTCCGGAGCCGCGTCCTTCATCACCTGGAGTCACAAAAACCACTCTGCTGTGACCAACAGCACCCACCCAGACTGTCCCACCACGGAATCAGCTCCTGGAGACCTTCCTGGTGCTACCTCCACCCACAGAGCCTGGGAATAACCCCAGGAGCTGCTCCAGGAGGTCTGAAAAGGCTCCTCCACCCTCCCCAGCTGTGTGGGACCTCGGGGGGATTCGGCTCAGGAATCCCCCTCTACGGAGCTGCAGGTGCTTCCTGCCCTTCTCTCCAGGCAAAGGGAAAGTCTCCCGGGGCCTGGACTGATTCCTTTCCCAGTAGCTGGTTGATCCAAGTGCATTACAAATACCTCACCATGGAGAAAGGAATATTATCTGTAAATTAAGACACTTGTCCCTCCCTGCAGAGGGACTCAGAACCATTATTTATGGGGCTCCAGGGTGTAGGTAAATGAAACCTAAACAATTTACACAAATACATAAATAAAAGGGACGTTCAGGTCTGTGGAAGTTACTCCAGGAGACACGGATTTGCCTGGATGTGAATTCCCATCTATGGAGCTGGAGCTGGGGTTGCAGGAGCTCAGGAGACCTGGATGCCCGAGAGCTCACAATTCCATCAATATATTTAAAATCATCAATGCAATCCCAGCTCCCAAACATTCCCCAGAGCTCTCAGAATTCCAGCAGTGCCATCCTACAATGATTTTATCCAAATGGGACTTCCCTCTTGCACCCCAAGGAGGTAGCAGGGGGAGGAGAAGGGGTGAGGGGGTGGGAAACACTCCCTGACTTTGCAAAGCCCAGCAGGAAGGACACAGTGGCTCCCAGTGATTCTGGCTGGCATTCCTGCTGCTTCCCATCCCTGCCCCGTTACTGAGGGAATCTCGTGGGCACTCTCTCGCCCCCTCTCTCCAGCTCCAGCTGCTCCACAAAGAATAGCTCCCTGTTTTTTTGCCAGCCCCACGTGTGAGCACAGTCCTGGCCAGTGCCAGAAAAACACAACCCCCAAGCCTCTCCTGCGGCGGAGCCAAGGCGGATCCAGCCTCGGGATTCAGGCTGATGGCTCCAGACGTGCTGCTGCTCCACGTCTCACAAGCCAGGCAGGAACCCATCCAGCCTCCGGCTCCCTGTGGTTCTCCAGCGCCTCCTTGGGATTGGCAAGGAGGTGGAAATCAATGGAAGGCCAAAACAAACCCTCTCCCACCCTGCAAAAGTGCAGGGAATGTCTTGATCCCAGTGCCCACCAGCCTTGGCTGCCTCCTAAAAAGTCCTAAGTTCCATCAGAGCCAGATTTGGGTCCCCGGGAAAGCAATTCTGGAGTTGATCCTGACACTTAAGATCAGCAAAAACATAATTTGCAGCTTCCAGAGATCCTGAAAACCATCTCGGAGTTCAGCCTCTCACCAGCACCAAGGGGAAGAGCTTATTTCTATCCAGGGATAAATGTCACTTGAGCAAGGGAAATGACAAATACTGGAGGGGGAGGAGAGCAGGTAGAGCCTGGGAACACAGCTGAGACAGAAGAAACAGCTGGGAGCATCCCTGAAAACACAAAGGATTCCGTTTGGCAAAAGGAGACCGAATTTTCAGAGCCAGAATGTTCCCATGTGCTGGTCTGGCCAAAGCTGGAGCCACAGAGCCGGGGGATTTCTGCCCTCCCCACCACCAGGAACCCCAGCAGCGGGTCCCAGCCTTTGGGGGCTGTGAGACCCCCCTCAGGGCATTCCTGGTGCTCCCTGGGCAGGATGGAGGGGGAGCCTGTCGGTACCTTTTTGTTATCCACCACTTTGTGCACGTACACGGTGGCCTGGGTGTACTCGCGCAGGTCCCGCTGCTGCTGGCACAGGAGCCCTTCCCGGCACTCCGGGCACAGCTCTGGGGAAAAAGCAGATTTAATATGTTAATAAACATAGTTAATGTGTTACTGTGTTTAATAAACATATTTCCAAGTTAAAAAACCCAAACACATTTAATTGCTTCAGCTCCTCGGAGACTCCATCCCAGTGCCTCTCACTGCCAGCCTGGATTGGACCAATTGAATTCCTGAATGGTTTGGGTTGGGAAGGACCTTAAACCTCATCCCTGCCATGGGCAGGGTCACCTTCCACTTGCTCCAAGCCCTGTCCAACCTGGCCTTGGACACTTCCAGAGATGGGGCAGCCACAGCTTCTCTGGGCAACCTGTGCCAGGGCCAAACCACCCTCATAGGGAAGACTTCCATCTCAATATCCCATCTAAATTTCCTTTCTTTTAGTTTAAAACCATTCCCCCTTGTCCTGTCCCTCCACCCCTTGTCCCAGGTCCCTCTCCAGCTCTCCTGGAGCCCCTTTAGGCCCTGGCAGGGGTTCTCAGGTCTCCCTGGATCCTTCTCTTCTCCAGGTGAAGCCCCCCAGCTCTCCCAGCCTGGTTCCAGAGCAGAGGGGCTCCAGCCCTTGGAGCATCTCCGTGGTCTCCTCTGGACTCGCTCCAGCAGCTCCAGGTCCTTCCTGAGCTGGGGACCCCCCAGCTGGACACAGTGCTCCAGGTGGGGAACCTGCCAAGCTCCACATTTACCGCCTCAGACTTCATTTCTTATCCTACAAGAGCCATTCCCAGAGCCCAGGGAGCAGAGTGACTCACGGGGCTCCGAGGTGTAGCGGGTGCCCTCGGGGCCCTGTGCCCGGGTGATCTTGATGACGTGATCCACCACGAAGAGTTTTTGGATCCTCTCCCACTCGCTGGGCCATATCAGAGCTATACTGTGCAAAGGAACAGGCAGGTGCTTTATGACATGGAAAAGCCAAGCTCCCCCCCAAAAAAACCCTCCTCCTTCTTCAGCATTTTAACAAAAGAAAACCACCAAAATCCCCCCCAAAATCAGCTGCAGGGGAGGGCCTGCACACCCTGATGGCGGCAGGCTGTGATTAGTGACGCTGCTGTGCTCCTGCCGTGCCGGAGGGAGAGATGGAGGAGGGAAGGAGGGGAAGATTTTCTACTTTCAGTGCTGCATCACTGCAGAAACAACGCCACGGAGCACGAAGTGCAGCGCTCCGGGGGGGAACGCGCACGGAAAGCAAATTGTAAGGAAGAGGGATGTTCCTGCGCCCCGGTCAGATCCAGGGTGGTTATTGTCAGGAACTAACCAAGCTGAAGGAAGCTCTTTTTTCCTGACCCAGCATGCTTGGACAATTTAGGTCTTGCCTTGCAGGAAGGCTGAGGTGGCTCTGAGAAAGCCGAGGTGTTGATTTAGTTTGAGGGAAAGGATTCGCTCCTCGCCTCGCTGTGGCTCGGCAGCAAGAACATTCCTTTTGGACTGTTCTCCTGGGGAAAGGAAAACGTGTGAAGGGAAGAAACTCACTGTTTGGAGTCTTCTTTGGTCATGGAAGCGAAGGTGAACATGAGCCCCCCGTGGGGGCAGAGCAGGACACTGTTGGCTATGGAGGACACGGGGCTGCAGCGTGTCGGCCTCCTGCAAAAGGGAAGGTGGTTTGGAAAGCTGGACCAGCTTATCCCAAAACCCCCCCAAGTCCTGCAGGCAGCCAAGAAGAAATCACAGGTGAATTATTTACAGAAGGCATTCCAACATGGAATATTAACTACAAGTGATGAGGAAATCAGATCCACGTTCCTCTGTGCTGCAAAATGGTTCTGTCCAGGGGAGATTTCCATCTCCAGCCTGTGCAAACAGGACTGAGAGGTGACCTCTGGGCTACAGCTCCAGACAGATGAAAAAACTAAGCAGGTTACCAGCTAATCCGACCATCTGGTTAACACATGGTAAACAAGGAAATTCAGTGTTGTACAACCAACACAAGTCCTACAAAAATCAGCTTCCTTGTTTCCATGAACCCCCTGCGCCGGCATTCAGAAGCAAAATGTTACCTACAGCCCCCAAAACACGGGATCAAAAGCACCAAAACCCTCCAGCCAAAATTACCTGACAAATTTCCTCCATTCTTCTACAAAGAACTGCGAAACAATATACAGCTCATCTGTCTCCTGGGGGGAAAAGAGAAGGAAAAGGGATCTTTTTAATGAACCCAGCAATAGGTTTGTCGGCAGCGCTCGCTCCCTCCCAGACCTCGGCCGGTTTTACCATGACAACTCCTTCCAAGCACGCTGGGAAAGCCAAGGAAAATAATATGGGATCAAGTACTAAGCACTGACTTTACTAATCTCATGTTTATTACAAAGTTAGTCAAGCTTTCAATCCAATTACCTTTAATTCCCAGTGGGAAAGGGGCATTTCCCTGGAGCAGCCAAGCACTGTTTTCTCTCGCTGGGTACTCGTGGTCAGAGACCACCCCAACCTCCCTCACTTGCTTCCAATATCAAAATCCACGGGTTTTTCCTTCTGGCAGCAGCAGGAACAAAAAACCCCAGCTGTGCACCCAACAAGGCAGTGTTTATGGGATAAACCCTGTCTTCTTGTCCCAATTTACCATTAAATTGTTTGCTCCTGAACAAAAAACCACCTAGATCCCAAGAGCTGGGTGACAAAATCACTTCCATGATCATCTACATCCTCACCATCTTCCCTACCATGCATTTAAGGGCTTGCTCCATCTTTCTGCAGGAAAACTCAGCACACCTGAGGAATATATATATTTTTAATCTCCATTAATCTCTAGACCAAACCACTCTGCTTGTTTTCCCTCCCCAAACCCCTCAACTGTTTTGGATCAGGAAAACTCCAAAAGCTTGAGGGAAAAATCCTCAGCTCTCTTTTATCAGGCTCCCTTGGGAAATTCCAAGGGAAAGGAGAATCCAAAGGGAAAGGAGGATGCAGCCCCAGTAGTGGAGAGGCTCCTGTTTCTGACCAACAGTGATAGGCTCCAGCTTTCCATCACCTCCTCCAGCTCCAAAGGCAAATCCTGCCAGATACAAGCCTTTAACACCCCTGGCAGAACCTGGAGCTCTCCAGCTCAGGGAAACTCCCTTTAAACCCTTCTGGATCTCCTTGATTCCAAGCCATGGATCCATATTGGCTCAGTATTTATTCCCAGCTGGAGCAGCGAGGGACCGAGGCAGAGACCTGCCAAAGCACCTTGGCAGCATTGGAGAGCCAACCATTAATCAGCACCATGAGACTCCCAGGAGCCAAGGACTGAAACAAGAGCTTGTTCCACTCCTTTTGGGCCACCCTAAATCCCCAAAAAGTCCCGGAGCAGCCGCCAGGAGAGGGTTTGCACAGCCGTCGTGCCTCTTTGGAGGGTGTCAGCATTTTGGGAAGATTCTCCCAAGCTCCTGGAATGCAGGAGGATGCTGGAGTACACCTGGAGCAGCCAAAGCTGGTGGCGGAGCAGAACTCAGGTGTGTTCCAGCATTCTCCAACCTGGGAAGGCTGATGGAAGGAGGTAGAAAAGTCACTTCCACTGGCGCGGCCGCGGCGTTTCCATCCTTCCAGGGACGGATACAACCCCAGCAGCAATATTGTCCCTGTTATCTGGCTGATTCCGGGCCAGCCACAGCTCCCTTGGCACAGGAGCCATTCCTGTGGCGCTTTAGGGCTCTGTGCCAGCACAGCTAATCCAGGGAAATCACACCTCAGCACAGCACACGTGTGAGCTCCGCTGGCATGGACCGAGAGAACGGTTATGGAGCGGGCTGGGTTGGAAGGGACCTTAAGGATCTCATTCCACTCCCCTGCCATGGGCAGGGACATCTTCCACTAGCCCAACCCCGGTCCAACCTGGCCTGGAACGCTTCCAGGGATGGGGCAGCCACAGCTTCTTTGAAAGGAGAGGATAAAAGCCAATAAAACCTGCCCCAAGCCCAGCTGCATTCCCTGGTTCCCCTCCTTCCCTACCTGAGGCCAACTGCCCAGGCAAGGCCTGCATTTATCATGGAACAGGTTCTGGAGAGAAGTCTTCTGCTCACTGGCCATCATCTTATGGAGAGCTTCGTTTTCCTCCCCTTCACGCTCCAAAATCTGCAGGAAACAGTGAATTTCATCCCAGCTGCACTGAAAGGTGACATTATTCTCCAGCACAGGGTAGTGACAAAAGGGAAACCAGAAACACAACCAGTATTTACAGTCAACAAAAAGGGGAATATTTGGCAAATACCTTGCACTGGGAACAGCACTCTTTGTTATTCGGGAATTCAGGGGCTTTTGGGAAATATTGCTTGAGTTTCTCCCAGGCTTCCCTGGAAACCACCCTGCGCTCGTTCTCAGAGATGCACAGGTCACCTGCAGGGAGAGAATCAAGGCAAGGGCTTTGATCACAACATGCTCAGGGATGTTTTGCAGCCCTTGATTAAAGAGATTACAGGGAATAAAGGTGGGGGAAGAGATCTACACGTCGTCAGCAAAAACCAGCCCAGCCAACAAAGTCACCTTTAACTCCTGCCTTGCTTCCCTTAGACAGGGAAAAATAATAATAGCAGTAATAATAATAATAATTTTAATTCATAAAAATGTCCTTTGGATTTCCAAGCTGATCAAACACAAGCAGGGATGCTGGGAAAAGCCAAAGAGGGCACAGGGCTACTGGTTCCTCCTCCACAGCCACACCCCCATGGTGCCTCCATGCACCAAGCCCCAGACTAACCCTGTGTCCCATGGAACAGAAGCCAGGTGCTCTCCACATCCTTGAACCCCCAAATTTCCCCTGCAGAATCTCAGATGGCTTCACATGCCCTATCCAAGCACCTCAAAATGTGGCAAGGGCAGATTTGACACCCTAAATCTGCTCTGGGGAACCACCGGGGTGTGAAGACACCGGGCAAGATTTACCAGCTGTCCCCCAGACAACTTATTTATCCATCAGGATTATTTATCCCGGTGCTCAGGCAGCTCAAAAAGCCCAGGAAGGGTTTCTCAGGAGCCATTTGTGCCTGCCATCTCAGGGATGGAAGCAGGAGACACACCCAGGCTCTTGGACACCACGTGCACACATGACAACACACACTCCGGATAAACAAGGCTTGGGAAAACTGGAGAAGGCTCCAGGATCCGACCAGCTGCCCCTTGCAGGGGTGATGATATCCAAGGGGAAAACACAAGCACATCCCCCTCTGAGACAGCAGCTGGAAGTCACTGTGCTATGAGCAGGCACCGGGAGAAACATGAGGAGCAGCCATTGCGACACTGGGATGCAAACCGGATTTGGGAATATTCCTGCCTCGGTGGGGATTGCACCAGCAAGAGGGAAGGAAAACAGCAACTGCCGTGTCCAAAGGACACAATACCTTATTATCTGCTTTTCTATAGCCTGGAGAGCTGCAGAGAGAGGAGAGGGAGAGAAACTCCTTCCTCCCCACCCTCTGGTAGCTCTTTAACATGACAAGCAGCTCCTCGGGCTCACGGATTTGCTCCAGCCCAGCCTGGAATTTGGCCAGCCCTGGAGAGGAAAAAATAGCAACCATCCCCTCCTGCTTTTCCTCTAATAAACAAAGGTCAGGCCTCGATGCAGCACTTGGCCACTTGGGCCTCATCCAACACAGCCAAGTGGCTCCGGAGGTTGGACCAGGATGTTGTCCAGAGCCAATGATGGGGAAGAAGAGGAGCTTGTACAAATAAGTGCCTTGACACCACATGATTAATTAAAATAGATTAATATGGTGAGGAAAAGAGGAGGAAAAATCAGCTCTGGGTGTGCAGGAACAAGTGTTTTGCCATCTGGAAGTTGATCCCAACCGCTGCTGACCCTGTTTCCCGCTCCCACCATCCAGGGACATGTTTTGGGCACGGACATCAAAGCAAAGCTTAACTTGGTATCTGGAAAAAATTATTCACTGGGATCAGGCAGCTACTGGAGAGCGAGGAATTGCAGCAAGGATGCAAAGGGAGTCGAGAAGGGAACGCCCGGGTGGCATTCCTGGAGGCCAGCCAGCCCTCACAGAGCCAGCCCTGGCTTTTCCAGAGCCTCCCACGGAGGCAGGAACCTCCTCCACCACAAAATTAAGGCTGTAGGAACAAGACTACAGATTTGCTGATCCACTCCAGAGAGAATTTTTCAAGGTGGAAAGGTTGTTTTCCACGAATAATCAAAGGTTAGCTCAAGACAACAAAACCTGCCCTGCCAGCAGCCCCTTAGTCAGTGTTATTTATTCTGCTCTGCCCCAAAGTCACAGATCAAACAGCAATTTAACACCATAATATTTTCCAAAGGCCTATTGGCCTATTTTTTATCGTGTCTGGCTACATAAATGTTCTATCCCCACACTCCCTGCTTTTATTGAACAGCAGCAGCCTCGAGGCAACGGGAAACGTGGCGTTCAAGGCTCTGAGTAACAGATAAAATCGTGACAAAGTGCTTAAACACCCGCCTTGAAAATGAGCTTTCTCCAGCCTTACTCCAGGTTCTTGATTAGCCCTGATGACAGGAGGAGTGTGGCTAATTTATGGCATTTTTCTTTCTTATTAGGGATAAGATGGAGCCTCCCCAGTAGGGAAATCAGTGCCTACGAAAAGGAGCTTAAGTAAAACAGAGTTATGTCTGGGAATAGAAGCTTTAAAAAGTGAGATTTAAACAACAGGGTAGCCAAGGATGCAGCTAATGAGGCATCACTTGGAAAACAACCCACACGGGGTCAAAACCTTCCGTAAACAGACACCAAAGCTCAGCAGGTTGGGAGATCAATATCCGGAGGTCCCAGCCCAGGTGTTGGCTGAGTGCTCCAGTTCTAATGTAAACCAGGATTAAATGGACCCTCTGAGCTCCCACCTGGAGTGATTTACACCACCTCTTTCTCTCTTAATGCTTTCAGAGCTTCCAAGTGGCTGCAGAGCTTTGGTGCTGCCCAGGATGCCGTGAGAGGGGGAGAAGCTCAGCTTGGCTGAGCCCTTACAGGATCTGCCTGCAAGTAAAACTTCTGAGTGCAAGAACCACCAGGGAAATGAGAATTAAGCACATTTCTGCAGTGGCTCCTCATGCTGGCTGCAGCTGGAGCAAAGGCTACGAGGTTCATGTGTGGAGCAGTGGGACACAAGGGAGACATTCAGCTCCAACCCCCGGAGACACTCACCGTGTGGGCAAACGATGTCTTCATTAAAATTTAACTCCTCTTCCTCCTCCCTCTTCTCTTCGTTTGATTCATCTGATTGAAAAAAAACTTAGTAAGACGAGAGGATTGCACAGAGTTCCTCTTCCCAAGGAAAAATCTTATGGCGGGGTGGGGGGCAAAGGAGCTCGGCCGCCTTTCAAATTCCAGCAAAACCCTCAACCCAAGGGAAAATTTGGAAGGAAATTTGTTGTTCTCTGATGTCTTGGCCTCTGGGCAGGCGGGATTACGGCCTCCAGGCCACGTAGGAGGGCTTTGAAGTGCGTGGAGCACAAGCCAAGCCTTTGTGAGATTACAAAGGATGCATTTGTTAGGGCTGAAACACCGCGGGGGTTCACTGCTCCCAAGGATCTCCCGAGTTTAACCTAAACAAGCCTAGGTAAGAGCAAAGGCAGCAGAATTCCTGGCAAAAATTCCTGATCTAAACCAGATGCTGCCTGACAAACCGAGAGGGAAGCCGGCAGGGGGTTGACAGGCCCCAAATCAACGTCTGAATTCCAGTTAAAATCCATAACTCCACACACAGAAGCTTTGGCCGCTGAGTGGAGCATCAGGAAGACAATGAGGTGTCAGTAAGAGCCTCTAACGAGCTGCTTAACGAGCAACTTGGCTTGTGAGTAATTCAATTGTACTACTGGGAGTTGCAACTTGTTGTAAATCAGAAGCAGCCCCGAGGAAATGTGAGTGGTAGCTCAGAAATGCCCTTTTCTCACTGAGTGCTCCACCTTACAGACATTATCGGGGTGCTGGGGTGTTCTCAAGCCTCCAAGCCCAAGATCAACGCCATGAGCCATCATCCCCACTTTCATTCCAACCAGCTTCTTGCTCTCAGTTCAAAAAAGATCAACGAAACGTAATTTCCAAAGATTTAAAGAGCAGAAGGCAAATAACCCCCCACTTAGTCTCACGATATGGGCACAGAATTGGGTCCAATTAATGATTTTTGTTCCTAGGCTGTTTTAATGATTTTTGTTTTCCCAGCGCTCCTGCATCACCTGTGCTGTTTCATCCCTCAACCTTCACAACAAACATCATCATCATCCCTTTCCCCAAGGTAATTTTCATGTTTCTTCCTCCCCTGTGCTCCCTCACTCAGAGAAAAGCATTGAAAACATTGTGTGGCTGGGGGGGTAATTTCACACAGCTTTGTAAAACCACTTATCCCCTCATCTCCCTCTCCAGGTATGAAGATCACCCCACAGTTTCCAAGCTTAGCAAAGAAAAAGCTCCTTAAAAGGGAGTTTATTTGATTTATTATCCTCTCTTCCCTACAAGGGAAACAAAACAGCTACAGAAACACCCGATGTGTCTTTTGTAGTAGGGCCCAGGCAGAGCTGTTGGGTCAGTACAACAGAAATTAGGGAGGAAATCAGGAGGGGATACCTTTGTTTTGTGCATTTCCATTCATTTTTCCATTACTGTGCTCTGCATCTTCATCTTGCTCATTGAGCTGCTCCAGAGCCAGCTGACGCCAGCTCCTCAGAGATGCTTTTCCAACCCAAAACCCGTCGTTCCTGCAGGGAGAGAAGAAGGAAAATCACCACAAAATCACAGCCCCCTTCTCCTTCAGAGCCCAACCGGTAAAATCTTCAGGAAAAAGCTATACAGGCACTTATAAAAAGCGCTTGGGACTGACATACCCCTTGACTGTGACCTTCAGCAGGTTGGTCACAGTTTTGTAGTCTTCATTCAGCTGGTTTTTGAGCCGCAGGATTCGACACCTTTCCACCACACAGTCCTTGCAAAGTGCTTTGACTGGAGTGGGGGGGAAAAACCACAATTTATTACACTATTTCCTGCACAATTTATTGCACAGGTGTCTTATTGTCCACCCTCAGACTGGAGTGTGCCAACTATCCTGGCCTCAGGATGGGAGATTTCATGTGTAAATGAGGAGATCCTGGGGGTTATCAGGCCACATTTGAAGATTAAAGAAGCATAAAATGCTGCAAATGAGGTGAAATCTGCTTCACTCCCTCCACAGCTCTATCAGAGTCCAGGTATCCACCACTTGTACTTGGAGCCAGGTCAGCCCAGCACACAGGCAAAGGCATATGCCAGGAAAACACCTGTATGGTGGCATTTTACCAGTTAAACCCAGAAAAAACACCGTCCTGCAAAGCTGCACTGGACCAAAGGAGTGGAAATCCTACAGCTGGGAGTGTATTGTGTGTATTTTCATCTGAGAGCAAGAAGGGATGGGAAGCAGCGTGTCCATCCATCCTTTTATCCCTCCCTCCCAGCCACACTCAGCCCACAACCCTTCAGGAAATCTTCCACTTGACTAATAAACCTTGCCCTGTTTTTCCCCACAAAGGCTGCCTGCGTCACCAGCAATTCCTTCCCTACAAGCTCCTGGTAGGAGCTGAGCTAATTTGGTCTCAGTGGGAGTTATTGAGCTCCTTCCTCAAAGGAATGAAGCCTGGGGCTCAAGGAAGGGGTGGCCAAAGCCTGGAGGGGCTGGGCTGACCCCAAAAAGCTGGATGTGTGATGGATGCTTCAGCAGGAGAATGCAGGCCAACAGGTCTGTGCTTCCTTGGATGAGGTGACAGACAGGAAGGGATTTTTTTGGCCTGAATGCTCCCTGAGACTCTGCCCACACAGGAGCTGTGGGTGCTGCAGGCACAGCAAAGAACTGTCAAGAGTTTGGGGGGGTTCCTTGTGCAAGTCTTATTTTCTAGAACTGCCTTCAAACCTTCCAAGTGTCAGATTTTCTAAGCAATCCTCAGCAATTCCTCCGGGCACAGCCCTTCCTGGACACAGCAGGCCCTGCAATCCCACTCAGTGGGTTTGGGGAATGTTAACAGAATTAAGTGATATTAAAAAAAAATCCCCAGAAATAGTGCAGCACTAAAGTACTGAAATAAAGTTGTGATGATGAAGGAGGGGTCCAGAAGAAGGCTCTAAGACAGGCCCAGCACACCCCGAGGGGACGGTACCGTTGAGCCGGGGCCCTCCCCCGTAGCGCCGGTAGAAGAAGTCGGCCACGTATTCCGAAATCCTCTTCATCAGGGATATTTTATCGGGATGGAGTTTGCCATGGGAGCACAGGCAGGCCGTGTTGTCGATAGGTTTGGGAGGAGTGGACTCATCCAGCCATTTCTGCAGCCATTCCAGAGAGATGAAGTCGTAGGGGGAACCTGGGAGGGGAGAAACCACAAAGAGGAACAAGCCCGGACGCGTCAGCTCCAACACCAGGTGGTACTTTAGAATCCCTCTTAAAAATTAACAGGAAATCACTGTTGGTTACATCTCTGAGGTGCAGATTTTCAAACATCTGATCCAGCTTCTCCCACCCCATTCTCATCTCGGTGTCACAGATTTAGAAGACATGAGATATTAAGATGCTCAGGTCATTTCGGATTCAGCAATCAATATGGAACAGCTCCAAGGAGGAATGGGAGTGCTTTCAAACCTTTGGGGGATTACTGGAGAGCAGTCGAGGAAAGGGGAAGGTTTTCCCATCATCCATCGAGGGACTGATATAATATTTAAATTATGATCATACATTAAAGGCTTTTTCTACAACAGAGAGAGTTCATTGGGCTAATTTGAGAATTAAAAGCAACACCACAAAAGAATCGAGGTCGGTGTTCACCCCACCCTTTTCAGCACTTGAAATTCCAATGTTTTTCTTACAATTCTGGGTGAGAAACAGTCCCATATTTTAAAATTTACAGTGTAAATGGAAACTTGCTCAGATTTTTTGCTGAAGCAGAGCAGCGGGTTTGCCCTTGTTTGCTGAAGGAGAAGCACCTGCACAAAGCCAAGGTTCAGGAGCAGGTCAGTGCCTGTATGAGCAGGGAAATGGTTTTGGGTGACAGCCCTGTATCTCAATACTGAGACACACTATTGATCCACAACTCTTCTGGGGGATGAGTGGGAAATTAGGAGGAAATCAGGAATTTTAAACCCATTCTCTGCTGCCTCGAAGGCAGCTCTGAAACCACGGGGAAAGGTAGCTGTGAGTCACATTTATCAACTGAACACAAATCCTTGATGTTTCCTGGGAATGAGCAACAGAGAAGCGACAGGAAAACACAGAAGACAGGAAAACACTGTGTCTCCAGCTTGCACTGGAGCTCTGTGAAGCCTCTTTTCCTCCCCAGCCTCAACCCATGGTGTTTTCATCTTACGCAACGCCCTCCGCAGCCGTGACCTCCGGAGAATTCCGGCGCTGTCAGAACGGGTTTGCTAGTTTGGGATGAAAGCTGCCTCCCCCAGAAAGGACGTTTTTCTGGGGCAGACTCCACAAAGCTGGCAGGGAACATGTCTGCACAGCTGCAGAGACAGCCCCCAGCTCCAAGGGCCAGGCCCCAGCGCGGCGCTGGAATGACGCTGCCTCCAGCTGTGCTGGGAGTGCTGTGCCCGGGCTGTGCCCAGTGGGTGCCCCAGGGCACTGCTTTGGGGCCTGGCAGCTCCAAATTGAGGCACAACGGCTTTACCTGCACTTGTAAAAAACATCTTTTTGGGGATTTATTCCTCTGTCACGTCAGAAATGCCGAGAGCAAACTACTGTGTTCCTGCTGAGGGAAGGCACAGTGGGATTGTGCTGCTGCTCCTTTTGGCAGGTGACTCAGGGCAGGTTGATCCCTCCAGCACAGCTCTGATCTCACAGTGACATCTGAACACTGCTCAGGCTCGTGGGGACTCAGGATGAGCTGTGACATGCTCCTGCTCCAGAGTTAAACACCTGTATTCCTGAATTGGAGAGGCAGATTTACAGGAGCAGGAGTTTCCTTTGGGCTACTCCAATCTCAGTGCTGGCTCTGAGTGTCTGGCAATAAAAGCTAAAACATCAAATTCTCCAGCAGGCCCCACAATTAAACCCACTTTTAAGTCTTCAATTATAATTTTCCTGGAGTCTTTAGGAGATGCACATAGTGAAATTCCACATGCTGGATAGACAGAGCAAGTGTCCCTATGCTTTTGAGGGAGATGGGAGGGAAAAACAAGGTGGGGAATAAAACCCCTTGTGCTGAGATGACAAGACACAAGGAGCAGGAGGAAAGGATTAACCCCAGTCACTACAAAGCTGGGACATGGAGTTTTGAGGCACTGGCAGGGATGGATCCAACTAATTTTCTGCTGGAGGTCAGGCATTCTCCCAGTTACCTGCTGCTGAATCAGGGTCACCAGCTCCCAAACCTGCCCTGAGCTGGCAAGTCAGGAGCAGGCTGTTCTTCTGCCTCGCTGCTCCTAACGAGCTGCTCAGCAGGCAGAAGAAAAGAGTCACAAAGCATGAGGCTGACTGATGGGGAAGGAGCAAGAGGGAATTAGCGACGCCAGAGGCCAAAAAAAAAAAAAAAAGGGGAGAAAAAATAGGTTAAGGCAGGAAAAGCAGCGAGGGAAAACAAATCTAAGCATGCACGGAGCTTTCCTCTTCCAGAGGGCTGCGGGAATGCCTTCCAGGGAGGGCAAGGTTAGTCACAAATCATCACCAATCTTAACAGCTCTACTAGAGAAACCCTCCACAATGTCTTACAGACCAGCTTCGGCGGGTAACCTTTGGTAGAGCTCCTTCACCTCCTCGTGTTTGATCTTCCCCCTGGCCACGCTCTGCTTGCGCATCTCGGCCATCTCGTTGCACCACTCCTCAAACTTGCAGTTATCCCTCTCCACCAGCTCCTGCAGGAAAGCTGGAGGGAGAGAAAAAGGAAAAAAAAAAAAAAAAAAAAAAAGCCAGGAATGTGAGGAGAAAATGCCAGCTATGTTAATTATCCTGGGTTATCTGGGGATAACAAACCTCAAAATTCCCTCACGTTCCATTCCCAGGCGTGTGGACGTTGCTCTCGCCCAATATCGGTGGTTGTAGATGATTAAAAGCAACGTTTTGCACCCAAGAAAATAATTTACTGGGTGTTGGTTGCTGTGTTAAGGGCAGCTCCTCTGTCCTGCCAAGGATCCATTGTTCCCAGGGTGGGAACAAGAGCTGGATACACCTGAGGCCTGTCCCGCCCTGGGATCCAGCACACTGCAAACCCAAGGGCAAAGAGCCCCCAGGAGATGGGAGATAAGCACTCCAACAGAAAGGTGAGGGAAATGGGAATTTTTGCTGTCATGGGTGGAAAAAAACCCAAAAACCAAACCTCAGCAGGGAAAAAAAAAAAGAAGATAAACCACTTCCATCCCAAGGCTGGTGTGAGGAGGGGGGGAAGCTCTGCTTATCTGAGGCCTTTTCCTATTTAGAATTATTTTGAAGAGCTGAAATATCTGCAGAAAGGTTAATTCTTGAGCAAAAAATATCCTCCTTGGGAGAATACCCAGCATTAAAAACCAACCAGCCTGACCTCCTTGAGGTCAGAGCCAAGTTGTGCCTCTCCACTGTGCTGGAAAAGCCGCTTTTTAACAGCATCAAAGCAAAATGCCTCAAATTTACAGTTGCATGAAACCTCCCCACAACCACAGAGCTCAGAGTGCTGCCCTTCGCTCCCTGTTCCCTGGCAGGATTCCACGGGAAACAAAGGCAACGCAGGAATTTGGAGCTGGGTGGGGAGGTTTTTGTCAAGTTATTGTTTTGGGCACAGGGGTAGGAGGAAAGGGAGAGCAAGACAGCTCAGGAAACAGGCTGAAAATGCAGATCCAGGCAGGAATCAGTAGTGCTAATTCCTGAAGTTTTGTGGCTTGGGGGGCAGGTTTTAGGGCTGGGGGGGGGTGGAAAAGGTTTGGGGGTGTTAGGGGGGAATAAAGTGTCTGATTTATAGGATTTACCCCCTCTGCAGAGATCCAAAGGGACCCACCACCTCTGCAGAAAAGGAAGGGGGAACACACCTCAGCACCAGGGGCCTAATTAATATTTCTAATCAAGCAGCAAATGTGAAGCATCATTAAATCCCCAGGCCAAGCCCCCGGGGAGCTCTGCCACCCCCACAGTTCCAAAGCACGGCCCAAATTCCCGCTCAGGGCTCGGAGCCTCTTGTTTTCACCTCATTTATTCGTGATGTGGCAAAGATGAAGCAGTTGCAGAGGGAAGCTGACATCTGTCAGGATTATTCACCTCCAGCACACAGCGTGCACTGCTCCTGACATTTAACCACGCTCTTCTCCCTCGCCTCTGGAATCCCGGTGGGATCCCTGCAGCAAATGCCAGCGGGATGATTTCCTCCTGACCCCTTCCCATCCCGACCAGCTGGTTAAGGCAGAGAGGTCTGAGCAGGCACAGGGGAGGGATGGGCAGGTTAATATTCATTAAGTGCTGGGAAAGCCCAGAGGGAACACTGGTCATGACACTGAGGGGCCACATGGCACGTGGAGAGTGGTTAAAAATCATGGAATCATGGAACGGTTTGGGTTGGAAGGACCTTGAAGATAATCCAGTCCCACTCCCTGCCATGGGCAGGGACACCTTCCCCTAGCCCAGGTTGCTCCAAGCCCTGTCCAACCTGGCCTTGGACACTTCCAGGGATCCAGGGGCAGCCACAGCTTCTCTGGGCAACCTGTGCCAGGGCCTCCCCACCCTCACAGGGAAGAATTTATCCCCAGTATCCCACCTAAATTTCCCCTCTTTTAGTTTAAAACCATTCCCCCTTGTCCTGTCTCTCCATCCCTTGTCCCAGTCCCTCTCCAGCTCTCCTGGAGCCCCTTTAGGCCCTGGAAGGGGCTCTCAGGTCTCCCCGGATCTTCTCTTCTCCAGGTGAACCCCCCCAGCTCTCCCAAGCCTGGCTCCAGAGCAGAGGGGCTCCAGCCCCCAAAATGGGGCTTGGAGCAAAATCCCGACGTTGGGGCCCACCTGGAGCACCCCGGGCTGGCACGGATTCCCAAATCACTCACCTGGCACCTCGACAGTGAGGGATTTCTCCCTGGCCTGCAGCCTGTACACCAGCATGTAGGCATTCCGGGAGCAGTGGGTGCCCTTCCCACACTTGGGCTTCCGAGTCTGGGATTTCGATGGCTCCGCTGTGGGACAGAAGGGAAAAACCTCAGCAACACAGCAGCCTGATCCTCCTTCCATGGGATGAGTTTGCCCCCTAGCCAGCTTCCCTCTGCCAGGCCTCTGTGCCAAGCACTGGGCTTGGCATGGCTCAAAATTGCATCCCAAAGAAAGCCCCAAATCCCTCCAGCCTCTCTGGGTAAATCAAAGGCACTAAATTTAGGAGCCTGTTCTGAACCTCCCTTCTCCAAGAGCCTTTCTTCTCTCCCCAGTGGAACCTCTCAGCCAACAGCAACTCTTGGAAAAACATCCTTTCTCTCTTCTCGCCTCTTGTTCTGGTGTCCTGACTCCAAAGGAAAAGAGTCAAATCCTCAGGGAAGAAATTCGTATTTACAGGTGACCGTGGAGGGGAAGAAAACACACACAGCAAAGTTTTTAGGGAGCCAACAGCCACGGGAAGGGCTGTTTTGGAGCAGCTGGTGGGGGATGTAAAGCTGTGTTGCAAGAGCTGCTGTTTCCAGATGGATTCTCAGGCAAGGAAAACACTCCTCTACAGCTGCAGCCTCAAAAATCACACCATTTTTAATAAAGAAAAAGAATTAAAGGAACAATGTTCCGTAGGTCAAAGTCTAAATGGACCACTGAAATATTAAGAGCAAGTGTCTGTTCTTCCCAAATTGTGGAAAAATTCATGTACCTCATCTCCCACCATCCAGAGGACTTCCTAGACTCCATTTACTTGCATTTTCTCCAAGGATTTTCTAAATTGTTCCCATCTGTGGCCAGGGCTCTCCCCCCACCACAGACCTTCACTGTATGTTACTGACCTTCTCCTGCTGTTACATGGATTTGGAACAAAGAAAAGCCTCAGTTTTGCTCGGAACAGACAAATAACATAAAAACTTGATAAAAATATTGGGCTCCCAGCCCTAGAGAGGCTCCTAAACACCCTTTAATTCTACTCTCCAAACAGCCTTGTATTGAAATACAAGAAATAAGAATACTGACTTGTGGTTAAGCACAAAACTTTATAAAAATCGAGACCACAGTGGTTTATTTGCATCTTATTTTGCCACTCCGGGGAGGTTAAAAACAAAGGCTGAGCAGCTCTTTTGCTCAAACCTTTCAGGGTTTAATTTTCCCTCACACCACTAGAGGTCTGGGCAGCTCCATCCTGGCCTGGGAGAGTCAAACATTAACGGGACAGAGCTGCTGGGGGCAGGCAGAACCATGGAATCACTCGGGCTGGAAAAGCCCTTCAAGATCACCCAGTCCAACCATTAACCCAGCACTGTCCCCAGGTGCCACATCCACACACCTTTGGAACTCTTCCCAGGGATGGGGACTTAATTCTTTCATGGAAAGGATGGTCAGGCATTGGCAGGGGCTGCCCAGGGCAGTGATGGTCCCCAGTATCCAACCTAAACCTCCCCTGGCACAATTTTTTCCCTCTCCTCCTGTCCCTTGTTCCCTGGGAGCAGAGCCCGACCCCCCCAGCTCCCCCCTCCTGTCAGGGGGCTGCAGAGCCAGAAGGTCCCCCCTGAGCCTCCTTTTCTCCAGGCTGAGCCCCCCCCAGCTGCCTGAGTTGCTTTCCAGAGGTTCTCCAGACCCTTTTTCTTGTGCTCCAGACCTTTCCCCAGCTCCATTGCCCATCTCTGGGCACATTTGTGCAGGTGAGGGCACGGAAATGGGAGAGGGAGGTTCATGGTTACACCAAACTTAAACCTTTCCCTTAGGGGATGTTTTAAAGAAAGGCCACATTCCATAAATTCCAACCAAAGCAAAGCATCCTGGTGAGCCAGCACTCCTGGGAATGGATTCCTTGCACTGCAAGTGGAATTTCTCATTCATTTCCCCCACCACGAAGCACCTGCACTATGGAACACTGAGCCACTGCCCAGCCCAGCCCTCAAAATGCCAATTAAACCCTCTCATTTATTGGCTGCAGAGTGAGAAACCAGCAGGTCCAGCCTCAGCCCAAGCTCTCCAAGAAATCCTCAGGAAATCCAGTGCAGGAACATGGTGATTTGAGCAGCACAGGACGAGCCAGTAATGGTAAAACAGAAAAGCAGCAAAGGGAAGTCAACAGGAGGTTGTTGTCGAGTTATTGTTTTGGGCACAGGGGTAGGAGGAAAGGGAGAGCAAGATAGCTCAGGAAACAGGCTGAAAATACAGATCCAGGCAGGAATTAGTGCTAATTCTTGAAGTTTTGTGGCTTGGAGAGTGTGTTTTAGGGCTGGAGGGTGGGGCTGGAAAAGGTTTGGGGGTGTTATTGGGGGAAATAAGGTGTGTGATTTATAGGATTTACCCCCTCTGCAGAGATCCAAAGGGACCCACCAGAGTGAAAGGGCAGTTTTAGCTTCTAACTTGTTATTTGGATCAAGATTTTTTTTTTACTGACTCTTAAGTCAAACAGCTCAGTGGAAATAAGACCATAACGAGTTAAGGGAACCGAAAGTATTCCCGTTATCTGTTCCAACACCGGCCAAGGAAGCAGCACTTGCCTGTTGCACCCTGATAGGAGCTGCTGTTCGAGTTATCAGCATCTTATCTGCCATGTGGCAGCCAGAGAAATACTAGAGGAGCTGATCATGAGGTGTAAACACTCGTGCAGGGCTGAAACCAAGCAAATCTGGCTGCAATCGCCAGGATTGCCTTTCACACCTTCCTCGGAGCCCCGACAGTATATGGGAGCTTTAGGGAGCAAGAGGATCCATGGCTTTGGGGAAAGGAGTTGCTTGAAAAGGGCACTGACAACTGAAAGAGAAGAGTAACAAGGCTGGTGAAGGGACTGGAGCATAAGTCCTATGGGGAGAGGCTGAGGGAGCTGGGGTTGTTTAGCCTGGAGAAGAGGAGGCTCAGAGGTGACCTCATCACTGTCTATAACTACCTGAAGGGAAGTTCTGGCCAGGTGGGGGTTGGTCTCTTCTCTCAGGCACTCAGAAATAGGACAAGGGGGCACGGGCTTAAGCTCCGCCAGGGGAAATTTAAGTTGGATATCAGGAGAAAATTCTTTAGAGAGAGAGTAATCAGGCACTGGAATGGGCTGCCCAGAGAGGTGGTGGATTCACCATCCCTGGAGATTTTTAAACGCAGATTGGACGTGGCACTGAGTGCCATGATCTAGTAAATGGACTGGCTTTGGACCACGGGTTGGACTCGATGATCTTGGAGGTCTTTTCCAACCCAATCGATTCTATGATTCTATGATTCTATGAAAGGTTTTACCTAGATCTTCCTCGATGCCCAGCTGCAGCTTCTTGCCCTCCATCTTCTCGATGTCCTCGTCGTTGAACTTGTACCACTCGCCCGTCTGCGGGTCCTTGACGTGGGCGATGTAGTGGCCGGAGTAGGCGCTGACGCCGCGGTGGATGAGGACAGCGCTCAGCTCGTACACGTACACCCCGTCTGGGAGGGCACAGCAGCGCTCACACACAGCTCCAGAGCCAGCAGCACAAACCCCCACCTTCCCAAAGCTCCGGGTTTTCAGCCGGCAGCAAACGCTGCGCTCCAACGTGGAGCTCCCCGGGACCTCGCTAAGTAGGTTGTGGCTTCCACGACCCACTAACGAGGATGTTGTTTGAAACACGGGCTTCAAACGGCTCTTGGCATCATTTCCCATCAAAAAGAGGATTCAGAGGAATCACGGAACTGCTTGAGTTGGAAGAGACTTTAAAGCCCATCTTGTTCTATGGGCAGGGACACCTCCCACTAGCTCAGGTTGCTCCAACCCCATCCAACCTGGCCTTGGACACTTCCAGGGATTCAGGGGCAGCCACAGATGCTCTGGGCACCCTGTGCCAGGGCCCCACCACTCTCACAGCCAGGAATTCCTTCCCAATATTCCACCTAACCCCGACCCCCTGAGCTACGGACACTCCAAGCCCCACACAGGTCACTGGCACTGCAGACAGACTGGTGTGAACAGATTTCCCCAGGGTGGATAAAGAAGGAAATTCCTGGCTGCAAGGGAAGGATTTCTTCTTAAACAGAACCCCAGAGACCACTCATCTGCTGACAGACCATGGGTAAAGACAACAAAAACCCTCCCCAAACTCACTTTTCTGCTCCATGAAAGGCTCCATGTCCAGCAGCTCCGAGAAGCCGATGTAGGTGTTCAGCTTCTTCTTGTGACCAGTTTGCCTGTGCAGGGGCAAAACTTCGGCTCAGGGCACAGCAATAACAGCTCACCCCCCCAAAATAACACCCCTTGGCCCCCCAGAGAAGCTCAGACACTCCCTGACCCCTCAATTAAAGCAGGAAGAGCCAAGCAGGTGCTTCCCAAAGAGCTTGCAGGGTGTTCCCACTGACCTGTCGAACACGAAGCGCATGAGCTGCAGGTTGAGGGTGCAGGGCAGGCTGAGCAGGCGGATCTTCCTCGTGGCATTCTGCTTGCTCTGACAAGTCTCACAAAAATAACGATTGTCCCCTTCTAATTTTTCTTCCTGAGTGTGGAGAGAGGGAAGAGGGAAAGGTGTGGAGAACAGCTCAGCGCTGAAAAGTCAACCAAGCCACTCGAGAGCTGGAGACTGAAAGCACCAAAGTGATTTTAACTCTTTAAGTCTCTTTCCGGTTGCTCTTCCCTAATTAATCTCTCAGTTAAAAGACACATTTTTAAAACTGCACATTCCAGCGTGGCCAGAGCAGGCTGCTCTCACTTTAAGGCCAATTTTAGACCCATTCCAAGTTGTCAGGTCTCTCACAAGACTGGCAGGTTTGCTCCTTGCTTCACTGAGTTGGTTTAGATCAAAGAAAATAATTAAATCACCCCTCTTATGAGTTCACGTGGCCCAAGTTAATGCAAAGCCACATTTCAGCCTGGAAACTCCAACCCTCTGCTCAGCCACCCAAAATCACCCTGCAAGAGTCACCGTGGGAGCCTAAGTAGGCCCAAGTGCAGGATTAGTCCAGAGGAGAATTCCAACCCCCCCAGCCAAGGTCACTGGGTGGTTTTGTGTGAAGTAGGAGCAGACAAACATCAAGTTCACCAAGTCAGGAGTTTAATTTGTGCACCCAAACCAGTTTTTTTTCATAGCAGACCTTCCACAGGCAGAGCAACCGGTTTGCTGAGTGCAGCAGCAGCAGCCAGGGAGCTCAGGGACAGGGGTTCAGCTCAGTTCTGTCCCAAAGATTTTGAGTGGAATCCACACCTTAACGTGCCGGAGCTGAACTTCGGATCCAGGCAAATTTTCAAGCTGAATAGGAGCACTTGCAGCTGTTCCCAAAGCTATTCCCGGCGCTCCCCAGTACTTCTGAGAGCACATTTTCCAGCAGGGAATGTCTCCTGTTGCTGTGCAGATGAGCACTGACACGGAGAACACGAACCCCAGCCCTTTTCCCCGTGCTATCCACAACAAAGCATGCAGGGACTTACTCCCAACTTTCCTGGCAAAGTATTTTAACTAAAAATGCAACTTCCAAGTGCTTTTTAAAGCCATAACAAGAGCAAGGAGTGGTTCTGCCTCAATCCTCATTTTTTGTGTCCCACAGAAAGAAACATTTTCACTTAGATGCATCTCACTGAGCCAACTTGCTCCAACACCGACCTCAAGGGCTGTGAATTAGAGGAAGGAATTTAAACTCCTGGCTAAAAATAGCAGCATTCCAACGAGCTCCTACCTTGAGGAATTCTGTTATACAGTCTGTCAGCTGCTTGTGTCCTTGGATGTTTAACTCCAGCTCGTAAAATTTGGACACCAGTTTGGATTCTCTGCCACACTGGTTGCAGCTGGGATTGGAAAGAAGATAAAAATATATGAAGACAGGTCATGGTTCCTGTGTCCCAGCCACAAGCAAGATATTCCTTGGATAAAACCAGGAGAAAAAAGTGGAGTCAGAGTTGAGGATGTTCACAACTCCACACCACAAAAACTCCTCGAGAAGGTGCAACCAGCACAACAGCAGCTACCAGGACCTGTTACAGATCACATGTATCATTTTGTATAATTTTTAAGGTGAAATCTGCATCATTTTATCTAATTTTACAGTGAAATCTCCATCATTTTGTCATTTTTAAAGTGAAATCTGCATCATTTTATCTCATTTTTAAGATGAAATCCACAGCTCCGAGAATGCAGAAATGAAAATACAACGCCCAGGATGCTGTTTTCTGGCTGCAGGATTTGCCAATTCCATCAACTCACTCGCAGGTTTGATTGGTGATTTTCATTAAAGGACTAAAAGCAGCAGGAGAAGTGAGACAGCAACAACACAGGCACAGAAACAGGACATTACAAGCATAAAAATCCCTCAGAAAAAGTTTCTGCAGCACCTCACCTGCCTGGTCCCATTGTAGGAGGCATCTTCCCCTCTCAAATCCTTCTAAAAATTCAAATATTTACTAGGAGGTTCTTCCCAAAGCCAATACTCACACAGTGACATAGGCATACTCTCCACAGAACTGCTTTTGCACGATGTTCCTGACATCTGGGTTCTTCTGTTTGGATAAAGTATCTTCCAGCAGGGACATGAACAGCTTGGAAAACTCCTGGGCATCCTGAAAAGAGAGAAACCCGAGTTCATTAACAAGCCCACCACAGCACAGTCACAACCCTGGCACTAATTTAGTGCTAATTACCCCGAGCCCCACGCACAGGCTGTACCCAGGCTCTGTGCACTGAATGGAAAATGAAGACTAGTTGGGAGAACTAAAGAAAAAAAGAGGAATTTGGCTAAAAGGAGCATGAGGCCCTCGGTGTGGGAGCAGGGCTGAGCTCTCCTGGCCCCCAGCCAGCCCTGCTGGGGATTTGACTCCTGTCCTGCTCTTCCCAGGGCTCTGGAAGGAATAAAAACCCTCCTGTGGAGCTTTCTGGCCCCTTGAGTGTCGATTTTCCAAGCCTGGCTCACAGAGTCAGCTCTCCCTGCTGGGAGCAGAGGTGAGCAGGGCAATAAAAACACCCCAAAAACGAGAGGCTGCCCTGAGGTGGATCCCTGCCAGGCTCTCGAGCTTCCCCACGCCCAGCTCAGGATTTTCCTCTCCCACCCTGGCTCTGCTCTTCCAAAAACAAACAGGTTTTGGCCTCTCCCAGCTGCCCTTTCGGTGTCCCTGGCTGGCAGGGACTGTTTCCTTCCCCTCTTGGTCCTCCCAAGGAATTCCCTGCTGGTGCTCAGGCCCTTCCTCCAACCACCTCCGTTACCTCTCCAAGTGGATTTCCAAGCCCCTCTCCTGAGTTCTCTCCAGCTGCAGCCCCACAGGATCCTGCAGCACTCATCCTGGCTGGCTCCCAGTGATGCCATTAGGATCTCCTTGCCCTAGGAGGGCCCTAAAACCTCCCCAACCACCCACTGGGGAGGAACAGCCCATGGGACACCTGCAAGAGGACCCTCACAGCAGCTTTGGCCCCCCCCAGCTCAGTGCCATGGCCATCAGGCACTACAACATTCCCTGTCTCCATCCCATCACTCCCTGGGCTCCTCCTCTCCTGTCCTCATCCCATTGCTCCTTATCCTCATCCCATCACTCCTTGCACTCCTCCTATCTCCCCTGCCTCATCCCAACACTCTCTGTCCTGATCCCATCACTCCCTGGCTTCCTCCTATCTCTCTGGCCTCATCCCATTAGTCCTTGTCCTCATCCCATCACTCCCTGGCCTGATCCTGATCTCTCTTTTCCTCATCCCATCACTCCCTGTTCCCACCCCATTGCTCTCTGGGCTCCTCCTGATCTCCCTTGTTCTCATTCCATTGCTCCCTGCCCTCCTCTTGATCTCCCTGTCTTCATCCCATTGCTCCCTCTCTTCATACCACTATTCCCTGGGCTCTTCCTGATCTCTCTGTCCCCATCCCATCACTCCCTGTCCCCATCCCACTGCTCCCTGGGCTCC